TGCCCATTTTTTGTTGGGTTATTTAGTTTTTTGATATTGAGCTGTAGGAGCTGATTATATAGTTTGTATGTTAACTCTTTATTGGCCATATCATTTACAAATATTTTTTCCCATTAGTAGGTTGTCTTTTCATTTTGTTGATGGTTTCCTTTGCTGTACAAAACCATTTAAGTTTAATTAGGTCCCAGTTGTTTGTTTGTTTTTGTTTCTTTTGCCTTAGGAGACAGATCCAAAAAAAGAAATTGCTACAATTTATTTCTGCCTATGTTCTTTTTAAGCAGTTCTGTGGTTTCAGGTCTTCTATTTAGGTCTTTAATCCATTTTGAGTTTATTTTTTGTATATGTATGAGAAAGTGTTCTAATTTCATTCTTTTACATGAAGCTGTTCAGTTTTCCCAGCATTGCTTATTGAGGAAACTGCCTTTTCTCCATTCTATATTCTTGCCTCCTGCATCTTAGATTAACTGACCATAAGTGTGTGGGCCCTGTATTCTGTTCAGTTGATCTGTGTGTCTGTTTTTGTGCCAGTACCATACTGTTTTGATGACTGTATGCTTTGTAGTGTAGTCAGAAGCCAGGGGATGTGATACCTCCAGCTTTGTTCTTTTTTTCTCAAGATGGCTTTGGCAATTTGGGGTCTTTTGTGTATTCTAAGGTCTTTAATGTATTAATTTACTTAATCTTCACAGCAGCCCAGCAAGGTGGTGCTATTGTTATCCCCGCTTACAACTGAGGAGACTGAGGTTAAGTAACTTGCCCAAAGTCACACAGCTAGTAAGCTACAGAACTAGAAGTCAAAGCCAGTATGTCTAGGTCCAGAGTCTATGCTCTTTACCACTACATGATACAGATCAATAAATATTTATTTATTGGAATAATGAGTAGTGAATACCTAATGGTGGAAAAATGCCTCAGTTTATCTAAAAATGTCTATTTTGCTCTTGTTCCTGAAAGATAGGTTTGCTAGGCACATAATTCTGGGTTTCGAGATATTTTCTTTCCGCATGTTGAAGATAACATTCTGCTATCTTCTGATTTCTAGTTTGTTCCTATAAGTCTAATTATTGATCTTTTGATGGAAATACGTTATTTCTCTTTGAAATGCTTTTAAGATCTTAATATTTTTGTTGTTCTGCAGTTTCACTACAATTTAAGTGTGTGTTTTTGTCATTTGCTACAATTATTGTACATTGTGTTTCTTAATAGCTGCAGATTCATTTTTTATCTCAGTTCTTGAAAATGCTGTCATTATCTCTTTTTTCCTTAAAAAATGAAAATGTATTTTAAGTAGGTATAATACATTAACATGGTTTAATACTTTAAAACGTATATTTTTCCTCCCACTCTTGTTTTTCAGTCACCCAGTGCCCTACCCCACTGATGTTATCTCTTCAAATATGTCCTTTTCCTTCAACGTTTCATTCTGAGATTCCAATTTTATATATACCAGTATTTCTTATCTACCCGCTATCTCTGGGCCTCTCCTTCACAATTTCTGTCCTCTTGTCTCTCTGTGCTGCCTTTTGGATTACTTCTGATCGGTATTTTCACCTGTCTCTAATTTGCTGTTTTAACCTATCCATTGAATTTTTTTTAATTAGTAGAGTTTATTTTTGAGCAGTTTAAGGTCTGTAGAAAAATTGAGCAGAAAATGCAGAGTCCTCACCTCTTCACCTTCTCCCACCCATTTCCCCTATTATGAACATCTTGCATTAATGTATGACATTTGTTACCATTGATGAGCCAGTACTGATACATTATTATTAACTAAAGTCCATGGTTTATGTTAAGGTTCACTCTATGCTGTACATTCTATGGATTTTATTTTCATTTTATGGATTTTGACAAAATGTATAGTGACATATACATTAGTTTGCTAGGGTTGCCTTAACATATACCGCAGACTCAGCTAAACAACGAAGATACTTTCTCTCACAATTCTGGAGGCTAGAAGTCCAAGAGCAAGTAGTTGGCAGCGTTGGTTTTTTCTTATAGTTGGCTCTCTTCTTTCTGTATCTTCGCGTGTTCTTTCCTCTATATGTGTCTGTGTCTTAATCTCTTTCAATATGACACCAATCATATTGAATTAGGGCCCACCCTATTGACCTCATTTTAATTCAGTTATCTCGTTATAGACCCTGTCTTCAAATAGAGTCACATTCTGAGGTACTGGGGCTTGAGACTTCAACCCATGGATTTGGTAAGGGAGACACATTCAGCCCATGACAACATTTATCCGCCAGTACAGAATCATACAGAGTAGTTTCACTGGGATAAAAATTCTGTTCCACCTGTTTATCCCTCCCACCCCGATGTACCCCAGGTAACCATTGATCATTTTACAATCTCCATAGTTTTGCCTTTTCCGGAACATCATATGGTTGGAATCCTGCATTATGTAGCCTTTTCAGATTGGCATCTTTCATTTAGCAATATGCATTTGAGGTTCCTCCGTATTTTTGTGGCGTAATAGCCCTTTGTATCACTGAATATTCATTGATTTTGTATTTCAACAGTTATATTTTAAGAAATTTCTACATGGTGCCTTTACAGATTTGTTCTTTATTTTGTGCATTGTTGCATGCCCATTTTTGTGATGGATGTCATGTGTTATTTCTTTAAATGTTTTTACATAGTTATTTTTGCATCATGTGGCTGATAATTCTAATATCTGAGGTCCTTAGGGGTCTAAATCTATTTGATGCTTCTGCTGACTCTTACTTGTGGTGTCTTCTTTTCTTATGTGTCTGGTGATCGGTGATTGTGAGCTCATAATGGTTTTTCATATCAGCTGTCCTGGAGACCTAAACGCAGGAATGTTTTCCTCTAGACAGGTTTGGCATTTGATTCATCTGGAAACCAAGGGTTACTAACTACTGACCTGGAATCACTTTACTTTCTTTTGACAGCTGGGTTAAATGATTCTCAGGTTCATCTCCTCCATTTTGCTGCATTGTAATGAACATTTGCTTTCAGGTCAGCCTTGCTTTTGCCTGTTGCTCACTATTCCTCACCTGGTTTTAGCTTGCTTTGTGTTTGTGTCTATTATTTTGAGCCCAATGAGTTCATTTTGAAAGTCCGTTTTATGTAGGATTTCATTGTTTTGTAGGTGGATATCCCTGCAGACTATCTTGTCAGGCATCCCTCCAAAGGAGGATTCAGTTGCCTGAGTTTAGGTTTTGACAGGTAGAATGATGGGGATCACATTAGGCACCTGTCAGTCCTCCTGGGCATCCTCCCAATTTCACTCTCACTTAATCACACACTCTTCTAGTTTGGACTTTGGGCCTTAGGCAGATGACATATTTTCTCTTGGCCGGTACTCCATGCGGTTGGGAGTGAAAAGTGATGATGGTTAATTTGGATACTGCCTCTGTGTGTAATCCGGGTGAGCTGTTTATTTCCCTGTGGTAATGCTGATGGAAATTTGAGCTTATTTCTGGGAAAGGCCTAGAAGATAGTATAGTAACTGAAAGTCATAAAATTGAAGTTTAAATTCCAACTTAGCCACTTACCAGCTATGTGACATGGTATAGGTTATGTAACTTTTCTGAGCTTCAGAAGTCTCAGTTATAAAGAATAATAAAAGCTAGTATTTACTGATCATTTATAATATGCTAAGCAGTGTGCTCAGTTTAATATATATATTATTTAATATTCAGTAACAATTGCATGAGATATAGCTAGTATTATACCTATTTTAATGGAAGTATAGAGAGGTTAAATAAGAGGGTTGTTGTTAAGGCCAAATTTAAATGAGATAATACATGTAGTGTGCCAGACACATATAAAGTGGTCAGTAAATAACAGCATTATTATGATCACTAACATTTTCAAGATATAAAATTAAGTCACGTATGTGATATGGCCTAAATAAGATTCACTTGCTCAATACATACTTTATGGAGCACTTATGGCCACATGCAGTGCTAAATGCGAGGAAAACAGCAGGGAGTAAGACAGATAGGGTCCCAGTGCTTAGAGAAGTCCCTTTAGAGTGAGGGAGACAGAGACACATAAACATTTACAATTCAGCCTGAGAAGTGCTGTGATGAGGTAAGAATAGGGTGCTCTGGGAGTCAGGGAAGATTTACCAGAAGAAATGCCCTCTCAATTCATTCCTGAAAAATGAATTGGAGGCAAGGGTGGAAATAAAAAACAGTGATTATTATGAAAGCTGGAGGGGAGAAAGTGCATACTGCAATTAAGAAATGAAAGTTTCGTGTGCAGGATTTTAGGAAAAGTCTGGAAAGTGAGCCTGGAGAGACAGCTAGGTGCTGTGTTCTGAAAGGCTTGGGAAACCCTGCTCTAAGAGTTTGACCTTTCTTTTAAGGGCGTTGAAAAGCCTCTGAAAGGTTTTTTACCCAGCAGAGATGTGTTTTTAAAAGATCACTCTGGCTAAAGTGTGGGGAACAATAACAAGAATAGCTTTAAATATATTATCTAAAAATGTATTATCTTAAAATCCTTACACTACCACTTGGAGGTATTGGTATTATCTTGATTTTATAGATGAAGAAATTGGGACTTGGAGAATTTACTTCATTCACAGAATTCACAAATTTAATAGGAAGTGGAGTTACAACCCCTGTCTTTCTGACTCTAAAACTATATTGCTGTATTGTCTTCAACTAGTAATGATTTGTTATGACCTGCTTTTTATGATTACTCTGTGGAAAATTCTCATTCATTCTTACAGTATTATTTGCGTACTCCGTGTTAGTTTGCAAAGCAATTCATAGCCATTATTTAGTTTAATTTCCTTAAAAACTGTGAATTAGGTGATGTTATCTCCATTTTACAGGTATGAAAACAGGCTTGAGGTATGGGACTGTCCATGCTCCCATACATCTAGAAAGCAGTAGAGTTGGGACTTGAACACTATGCTCTTGACAAAGGAAAGCCTTTTTTTCTGGGTATCTTGTGAACATGCCACTCTACTTTCTTGGGTCTTTACCCTTTCTTCATATGTGAATGTTTATAAGGCTCTTTCCTTCCAGGTTTTGGAGATCACATTCATTGGAGGACACTAGAAGATGGAAAGAAAGAAGCAGCTGCCAGGTACAAGATATGGTTTTGGGTTACTTATGATGGTAAAATACTTTCCAGCTATCAACTTAGCATTAATTTCAGGTGAAGGGTTATGCCAAGGCAGAGCAAGAATTGAGAGGTTGCCTGATAACAACAACAATAATAATACCAGCTAACATTTATTAAGTGCTTACTATGCACCAGACATTGAATTATGTGAATTAATTCATTTAATTCTCACAACTCTTTTGAGGTGGGTACTGTTGCCCACTTCATTTTACAAGTGAGAAAATTAAGGCACAGAGCAGTTAAATAATTTGCCCAAGATTACACAGCTGGTTTAGTGGTAGAGCCAAGATCTAGACCCAGGCACTCTGGCCTCAGAGCCTACACTCAACCAATACACCATATTGCATAATAGTCTCAATTCGAATAGTCTTAAGTTCCAAGTGGGTTTAGTCTATGCATGGAAAACTGACACAAAGGAGGAGGAAAAGGCAGAGCAGGGGAGGAAAGGCTGAACATTGATCTAAGTGCTTTACATTCATTAATTTATTTAATCGTCACAACCTGTGATATTGGTTCAGCCCATGAAATAAGAACCATTGTTATTTTACAGGAGAGGAAATTGACATACACAAGGGTTAAATAACTTGACAATAGTTTACACAGATAGTAAGTGGCAGAGCCAAGACTTGAACATTCTCTACTGTACTGTACTAGAGAGATACAAAGACCCAATATATGTGCACTTACACATACGTGCACAGAAACACTCACACTCTGCACTTAACCAAACTATAGTGCTTGCTTTTGCTGGAACAGATCCTACAGCTTCATGGCTCTGAGTCTCACACCTTCTGCAAGAGTAGAGTTGCCAGATTTAGCAAATGAAAATAAAGGATGCCCAGTTAAATTTGAATTTCAAGTAAACAATAAGTAATTTAAAATATGCTACAAGCAATATGAGACATATTTCTTTTAAAAACATTTTTGTTGATATCTGAAATTCAAATTTAACTAGGCATCCTGTATTTTATCTAGCAACCTTACCCAGAAGAAAAATTCCTATTAGTTTTTCTAAATCAACTAAATCAACTAACTATTCCTAGATAAAGCCTTCAGCAATTTTCATGGGCACTTTGTGTTTCTCTTCTGTACTTGTACAACTCAACCTACCTCCGTCCTTAGAGTGTGTATTTTGCTTGTATGTGCTTGACCTTTCCCATTCAGACCCTTGATCTATGAGGGAATTGTTCTACGTTCATATCTGAATCTCCAATCATGAAGATGTTGAATGATTGAAATGGTTATTGAATAGCTACTGAGAGTCACTGACTATAAGGAATGAAGAGGAACTAGCATTTGTGAATTGTCTTCTGTATGCTAAATATAGTGATGTTGTTTTGCAGTATTTAATACTCTTTAAAGCCCCATTGTAAATGGATGGACACAGTGTTTGGCCGTCAGGATATCACATTCTTCTGAGAACTGTAACATTTGACATGAATAACTGATGCCATTCTAAGCTCCATCTCCTTTCGGAGAGAGCAGGACCCGGCTCTAGTTGGCTCAGAACTCCTATTTCCATAGCAACGAGAGGCCCTGTAAGAGTCAAGGGAGGCAGGAAGTGCAGCTTGCATTTCCGGTTTGCGTCGGAGACGTCCGTAACCCGGAAGTTGACGCGGCGCGGTTGCACATGGCTGCGCCCTGGGAGGATGCCGCTCGTGGTGTTTTGCGGGCTGCCGTACAGCGGCAAGAGTCGGCGCGCGGAGGAGCTCCGTGGGGCCCTGGCGGCCGACGGCCGAGTGGTGCACGTGGTGGACGACGCGGCGGTGCTGGGCGCGGAGGACGCGGCGGTGTACGGCGATTCGGTCCGTGAGAAGGCCTTGCGTGGGGCCCTGCGAGCCGCCGTGGAGCGGCGCCTGAGTCGCCACGACGTGGTCATCCTCGACTCACTTAACTACATCAAGGGCTTCCGCTACGAACTATACTGCCTGGCGCGGGCGGCGCGCACCCCGCTCTGCCTGGTCTACTGCGTACGGCCAGGGGGTCTGAGCGAGGAACCGCAGGTGGCGGGCTTGGAGGAGAATCGGAACCGGAACGTCAGTGTGAGTTGGAGGCCGCGCGCTGAGGAGGGAGGGAGACCTCTGGAGGCAGGCACCGGTGCCTTCAGGGAACCGCGGCTAGTGGACTCCGCAGGAAATGGGAGGATTCAGGCAGACGTATCTAAAGAACTGGTGCAGGAAGAAACTAGGGCGCCAGATTTTACAGCTCTCATGACTCCGGAATTCGAGAAATCTGCAAAGCCTATGTCGGGTGACTTTTACACTCCCGAACTTCTGGAGGCCCTAGCGCTGCGCTTCGAAGCTCCCGACTCTCGGAACCGCTGGGACCGACCCTTGTTCACCTTGGTGGGCTTAGAGGAGCCATTGCCCTTGGCAGAGATCAGGGCTGCCCTGTTTGAGAACCGGGCTCCTCCACCCCATCAATCTACACAGTCCCAGCCACTTGCCTCCGGCAGTTTTCTGCACCAGTTGGACCAGATCACCAGCCAGGTGTTGGCAGGACTGATGGAAGCGCAGAAGAGCGCGGTACCCGGAGACTTGCTTAAGCTTCCTGGCACCACAGAGCACTTGCGGTTTACTCGGCCCTTGACCATGGCAGAACTGAGTCGGCTTCGTCGTCAGTTTATTTCCTATACCAAAATGCATCCCAACAATGAGAACCTGCCTCAACTGGCCAACATGTTTTTGCAGTATCTAAGCCAGAGCCTGCACTAACCAGATAGGTGAGGGAAAGCCATGCTCTTTGTCAAACCATCACACTCTGCTTCTCTGGGAAGAATAATCAGAGGGTCTGCAGAATATTTTGATGTGTGGCACTAGAGCTGTTGTGACTGCTTCACACATACTTTGCTGAATGATGCCTCTGAGCCAGGCATTGAGTTTACAGCATAATGAAACTAGAGAGAACAGAGAAGTAGCTTGGAAGATCTTGGTAAATTTCTCCAGAGGATAGAGCTTTTTGAGTACTGTGCCTACTTTTTTTTGCTAGTCTCTATCCTGGGGCCTGGGGTCATAGACAGATCCACTGGTTTCTATCCTTGGGAATCTTTGGTTCTAGTGGAAATGAAAGACAAAAATCACTAGATTATTTCATCTAATAAAATCTTTTAGAAGAAGACAGTCTGCTGGCATCTCTTTCACTTATTGTAACTTTATGTTCTTTATGTAATTTACTTACTGTAACATTCTAGATACACATAAATCCTTGTTATGCATTCATCAATAGTACTTTGATAGTGCTCAGTGAGAGTCTAGATGTTTTAGTTTTAACCTAGAGTGACTATATTATATTATGACAGCTTACATAATTATTGTGTTCATTCTGTTTTTCAAGACAAATAGCACTTTAAGCTTATCGTTTTCTTTTTTTCATTAATTTCATTAAACAAATGGTAAGTACCCACCTTATCAATGCTTGTATTTTTCGAAGATAAATTAGATACAGTCTTTGCCCTTGAGAAATTAGTAGTTTTGATAAGTAAATAGGTGATTAGAGGATGAAAAGTGCTGGTGGTGAGAATGCTTTGAGGAGTAGGACTAACTAGCTGTTGAGAGAAGGTGGTTTGGGGAAGCCTTCACAGAGGAGTTTATATTTGAATTGTCACTCTAGAACAGGGGTCGGTAAAGGCCAAACAGCAAATCTTAGGCTTCATGGACCATGCAGTCTCTCTTGCAGCTGATCAGCTGTGCTGTGGTATCACAGAAGCTGCCATAGACAGTAAGTATACAAACAAGTGAATGTGTTTTAATACACTGACTGAATTATATTTGATTTTAACATATCACAAGGTACTATTCTTTAGATTTGTTTTCAACCATTTAAAAATTAAAAAAAAAACCCCAAACCCCCACATTTGTGTATCACAGCCCTATAGAAGCAGGTAGTACGCTGGATTAGGCCTGCACACTAGTTTGCTGACCTCTGCCCCAGAAGGATAAATAGGAGACAGGAGGAAGCAATACATTCTAAATAGTGCTCTAAGTGCATGACCCTGTTAAAAGGATGGATTGCCTTGGTTGGTGATGTATTTCATTCTCATCAGTTTATCTGATTTCTGACATACAAGAACGGATTTCTGCATAAAATGGAGATTTGGAATAGGCAACCTCTGAGGCCTTTTCCATTCTTCATTATCTAATTCCAAGTTAGTTGGTTATCAGATGATGATGATGATGATTATTATTATTAATCATCTGATTTTGGAGTCAGACTTATGTGTTAGCTACTAAGTGGTAGAACCTATATTTTATGTGGCCAAATATTTAATCTCTTGAGAGTCTCAGTTTTCTCATTTTTATTATGAAACCATTAATGGCATCTACCTTCGGATTGTTGTGAGGATTTAAATCAGATTTTGTGTGTAAAGCACGTAGAACAATATAAAAATGTTTAACACATTTTGGCTATTGTTATGGTTATCTAGATCCCACTTCTTAACCTAAGCTTGCCCTGCTCATCTGGTTTAAAAGCTTTTACAAGTATTAGAGGCACAAATCCATCCCAGATTTGTAGTAGGCCTATGATGAGATAGCTGAATAATTTAACGCTTACTAAATTAATTAATTTACGTGTATTTAAAACAGTGCCTGGTACATAGTAAATGCTACATAAGATTTTGCTACTAATATGCTAGGTGTAGGGGATATAGAGACAGCTACGAGTTCCTTCCTTAGGAACCTCTAAGTTTGGTGAAGAGAGATGGGTAAGTAATAGATACAGTTCAGTGTGATAAACGCTGTGATAGCATTATACAGTGCATGGTGATATGGAGGTTGGGTGATGGAGAAAGCCAATGGCTGCTTACATCAGACCCTTCTATAAGTTGGCATTTGAGCCTTGAGAGCTTAAGAGCTTCAGCTGGCCAAGACTGATTCAGGTGGACTATGTTGCTTATTGTTTTATAAAAGAAAAAGCGTTTTCCTCCCTGATTATAAAAATTACACTTAATTGTACCAAAATTGGAAAATACAGGAAAAGGTATAGTAAAATCCACAGTCCCATTCTCCAGAGATAACTTCAATTATGTTTTCATACATTTCCTTTTAAGCTCTTTTCTCTGTACATATTTGTATAATTAAAATTAAACTATAGATAATAATCTTATATTCTAGCTTTTAACTTAACATTGTAATGAAAAACTATATTAACATTTCAATGATTATATAACCATAACATTTGGAAATGCTGTAATTTGTTTTCTTCTACAATCTTTTCTCCCTAGCTTTAAAGTCCAAATTTGCAGTATTTACTAGAATATCAGGACTTAGCAATAATTTTGTTATAATAGTCTACTATTATTGAATACTTACGTTATCTTAAAAGTTTTCCAATTGAATTATACTACATGTATGCCTTTGTACAGTAGTCTTTGTCTTCTTGAGTTGGTCATTTTATTAGAATGCATTTCAAGAAGTGGAATTACTAGATTATAATGTCTTTGTTTTGTCTTTAAGTGGATTACCCCTGATGGTGATTATCCATAAGTCCTGGTGTGGAGCTTGCAAAGGTAGGTGCAGATGATCTAACCTCAGATGTGTTCTCAAATATTAACATTTAAACAGTTATTAGCACTGGCTTTGGCTCAGCACTGCTTATTGCTTTAAGGAATACCAAAGAAATATATGATATAAATTCCCTGCCCTCAAATTTGCAATTATATTTGGGGGTTGGAGGGTGAGGCAATTAAAATATAGTTATGTAGAATGTGGAATTAAGTGCTACAATAGTTGTATGGTCAGTTGTATATACAGTGAGAGACATGAGGCGTGGTAGGAAGGTCTTCCTGGAGGAGGTGGGAGCCAAATTATCTTACTTTGTAGCATGTATTCTCTCTGCTATACCACCCTGCCACTTAACAGTCAGATGTTTTTCTTTTATTTGGTATACAGCACTTAATAAAATCTGTTGGAAGAGAAGTATAAAATTAGTGTAAATCATTAGTGAAATAATATGTATACATTAGTGGTAGAGTATTGTTATTCTGTTGTCTTTGTTACATTTATTTTTAAATAGATGTTGAAATATGTAAGAAAGCAAACTAATAATTTTTTCATTCATATGCTATTATCCATATTTTATAAATGAGATACCAACTTCAGAGAAATGAAGTCAGTCACTCAAAGATACATAGCTATGCAGGTAAAGTGGCAGAAGCAGGAACAGAATTCAGGTGTCCTGATTTCTGGGTCTTAATGTTAAAAAAAAAAAAGAGTAGTTATAAGAATCAACTCAGCAAATTAGGGTTTGGATATGACAATGATGTTTTCTTCTGTTCCCAAATCTTTTTCTCCCCTCAGCTTTAAAGCCCAAATTTGCAGAATCTACAGAAATTTCTGAACTGTCCCATAATTTTGTTATGGTAAATCTTGAGGTAAGGCTTCCGGAGTTTCTCCTTTCTGCTATAATTTTAAGTCTGTACTGTTTTAGAATTAGCATCATTGATGGTGTAAAATCTTACTCAGCAGAGCTGGCCACTGGTAGGTATGTGTCTTTCTCTTGAACTCTAATCCTAAGACTTGTATCAGATACAGTAGAATGTCATCCAGCCCCCATTTGTGGGAGGGAGGAAGTAGAGGAAGAGATTAGATACGATGACTAAACTTTAAGGTTCCTTCATTTTTAGTTTGTGATTATGACGTTTTTACATTTTCACATAGGTGAACTAAAGGTGTAGTTGTATATGCAGGCCACAACTCCATGCAAAATGTGATTCAGTTGAAACTGTACTCTGTATGAGGCTTATATGTACAGCCTCCTTGTTTCTTCATTAGATATCCTTTATGTACTTCATACAGAGGTCTTGGAATCCCAAGTCAGAATATCAGGTCTTAGAGTTAGAGGGGAGTTTTAGGCCATTGGTACTATCCCTATTTTACAGATTGAGCATCTTAGGCTTAAAGGAGTTAGGTGATTTAGTCAGGATCATAGAGCCTAATAAGTGATAAGAATAGGTACTGCGACCTAGCTGTGCTGCCTTTTAGGCTGTGCTCTTCTAATGTGGGATGCTTGGATGCTCTGTGATGATACTTCTAGCCCTAAGTATGTGTAAAATGATGTTTGCTTAAACACAGGGCTGGAAATCTTCTGAATATATTAACAGTTAACATTGAGGTACCAAAGGGATTGCTCATATAGCTTGTGGATAGTCTGAATGCTGACACACCTCACTGAAGGCAAAGACCTCATTTAACTTCTGAAATGGGAATCACACCATAAGTGACAAAATTACTATTGATTCTTATGTTTCTGAACTCCTCACCACTTTCTATGGTAAGTTAGAATCACTACTCAAAGGAAACAGAAATGTGTCCTGTGAGCATTCTCCAACTTGAGAGATTTTTTTTAAAATGAACACTAATTGTGTGGTCATATCTCTTAGGAGGACTGTAACTTCACAATTGTAGCTAAAATGTCAGTCTCATCAATCCATACCTTCAAGAAGAATCGTGCAAATCAGTGATGGAGGCATTGGAAATCAGCAATGAACAAAACAGACAAAACTCTCGGCCCTCATTAAATTACATATGAAGAATTGAATAGGGGGAGACAGACAAATAAAATAAAACATGTCAGATGGTGGTAAATGCTATGGCTAAAAATGAAGGCTGGAAGGGACAGTTTGCAATTTTAAAGAGATGGTTAGAGAAGAAGGTGACATTTGAACAAAGATTTGAAGCAGAAAAGGGAGTGAACCATGTGGAAACTGGGGGAAGTGTGTCCAGGCAGAGGGTAAGAACAACAAAAGCCCGAGTAGACAGCATGCCTGGCTGGTTTAATGATAGCAACAGCAAGCAAGTTAGTGGTTGAAAAAGACTGAGCAAGGGGTGGGACATGACGTTAGAGAAGTGCCCAGGGGCAGACCATGTAGGGCCTCTTAGGTCACTGCAAGGACTTGAGTGAGTTTTTACCCTAAGTGAGAGGGGAACCACTGAAAGGTTTTGAGGAGAGAGGGGACGTGATCTGAACTTAAGGTTTATACTTAATAGGATGAAGAGGAGCCCAAAGATGAAGATTTCAGCCCTGATGGGGGTTATATTCCACGAATCCTTTTCCTGGGTAAGGTGAAAGGTCTTAATCCGGGGATCTGTGACATGCAGGGAGAGAGAAATAAATCCAGGCACTGACTGCCCCTAGTGAAATGATACTGGGATGGCTAAAAACAAAAACAAGCAAAAACCAGTTTCAGGAAAGTATGGGGAGTTGTGAAGGTCAGAACTTCTGAACATCTGAACATTCTGAAGGAAAACTTTTCCCATTAACTAACTGCTTTTTGTGAGCAACGGGACAATATTTATCCTTTCTCCATTCGGCAGTCATTTATGCATCAGCTTTCTGTCACAGACTGTGCTAGGTACTACAGGGATTGAGATAAGCCACAGTTCCCACCCTTGACTTATGGTGAGGCTGAGGCAATGGAATGCTGTAAGCAGACAAATGTCTTCACAGAAAAAAATTTATAAAAGATATTTAGTGACCACCTCATCTTTGCTCAGCATTCTGCTAGGTTCTATAGGGGATATAAATCAAAAGATAGGATCCCAGTATCATCAAGCAGTAAAGGGACATGCCAGGAAGAGGAAACAGCATATGCCAGGAAGAGGGAACAGCATATACCAAGGCAAGGCGGGGTGTTGGGGGTAAGGGTTAGGTTGTGGTCAGGGAACTGCAAGGAATGACTGCAACATAATACACAAGGGGTAGGGTGGTGAGATAATGGGCTGCAAAGATGGGCAGGTCTCGTTTTCCAGAAGGCCTATTGTACCACAGTGTTTGAAGTACCTCCCTGTTGTAATTATTGCAACCTCTATGCTGTTTTGTCTATTATAGATCCCAGTGGCAAAGTGCGTCCTGAAATCATCAATGAGAATGGAAACCCCAGCTACAAGTATTTCTACATCAGTGCTGAGCAAGGTATGGCTATGCTGAGAGAGGAGGGAGGGTTGCTGCCAGATTTAACTAGGATGAACCACATGCAAGGACTGTGATGAGAAACTTAATTCAGCATGTTAGCTGAACATCTCCTGCATGACTAGGTTTTGCCTAGATCCTGGGTAGAATATAGGAAAAAGGTGAGACTGAGCCTCTTTCCTGGCTACTTACAATCCAGTTGGGAGCTAACTGACCCACAGGAAACTGAAGAACTGAGGCTCACAGAGATAGTCACTTGCCCATTGTCTCACAGTTAATAAGTCACAGAGCCAGGATTTTGGTCCAGAGCTTAGTTTTTTCCCACTGCACTAAAGCTATTCTTACAAGACTTCAAAGGAAGGGGAATGCTAACTGTTAGCTGATCAAGTCTAAAACATTTCATAGATAGTAAACTTTAGCTGGACCTGGAACAAGAATTTGTCTCTATGGACAGGTATGTGGAGGACATTTCAAGCTATGGAAGCAAGGGCTGTGTGTGAGGGGAAAGGGTAGCCCAGCATGGAGAGTCCACAAGGCTGGATTGAGTCCTAAAGAACGAGACCTAGCCAGCAGAACACTCGAAAAATGTGTTCCGCCCAGAGGGAACAGCGCCAGCACGAACATGTGAAGGAAGGTTGAAATCTTAAATCAGTCATGCTTTTTTGTTCTGTAGTCCTTGAGCACAGTCATTCTAGAGGCAGAGGTTGAATTCATGCCACATACTGTCACTGTTTTCCTTCTGATGTTCTCCCTGCCATCTATAAAAGAGGGTTGTTCACTAAGTTGCCATGTGTCTGTCCCCCAACGCCTTGCTACCAGGTTGTTGAGCATTTCGTGTTTTGAGTCTTTATTTCTCCAAATAGGGAGAGGAGAGTCCTCTTCTTTCCATGGATAAGGAGAATGTCATCATCTTACCCAAATGCAGATCACTGGAGGCTAGTATTCAAGGGAAATTTTCCACATGGAGAAGTCACCTGAACTTTAGGTCCCCAACTCTTGACCCTTGAAATTCACCTTTGTTTTAGAATTTCATAAAGTTACCACTGCCATTTTGAACTGGCATCATCCTTTAACACTTTAGTCTAAATGTGGACACAGGACCCTTCCTGAATTCCCCATGGCTCAGCCAACATGAAACTGGGACATTCAAACTTGGCTTTACTAAAGGTTTAGGTAAAACAAAATGAATATAACACACTATACTACCTGCCTCTTATAGGCTTGCTTTCTGAGATCCAGGCTCTGGCTCAGTCTGACTCCTGGGTTGCTATTGATGGAGAGCCTGTACCAAAACAGCTGCCCTCCCTGATGTCTAAATCCACAAAAGAGACGCCCCAAGACACACAGGAAGTTTCATCTCCCGTCTACCCAGGGCCTGCCTTCCAGGTTTCTCTTTTGCCTGAGAACTTACTTCTTCCATATATAGTTGATACTGCACATGACCACCTCCTTCAGTGAAGACCATCCTCCCTCCAAGCACGTGCACACACTCACATATCAGTGTGACCTGTAACCTCCACAGGTAATGGAATAAATGCAACATTCATTTGGGGATGATAGGAAGATGTTTTCTATTCCCTTAGTGTCAGGTGAACATCCAGTTCATCCATCGCAGTCTGTGACAGGGGTTCAGCTCTAATCCTGGAGGGTAAGCCAAAGTAACTAACACTTTTGTAGGACTTCATAGTTTATAAAGCATGTGTATTCATTCTCGCATTCAATTTTTATGATCTGTGTGAATAAATCTATACCTTATTTATAGATTAGGAAACAAATTCAAGAGACTTTCCAGGGCTAAAATCCAGAACTAGATCTTAAATCCAGATCCTGTGCTCTTCTCATATTTCTCCTAAAATGTGAAAATCTGTATTGGTTGTCAAATGTCAACTGTTTAAGACCTGCTTCATACTTTTCCCCTCAACCTTAATTTCACAGTTGTTCAGGGGATGAAGGAAGCTCAGGAAAGGCTGACGGGTGATGCCTTCAGAGAGAAACATCTTGAAGACGAGTTGTAGCATGAGTGTATCCCTTCTTTCATCAAAGTGATTATTCTCGAGGGAAAGCAGTACTGAAGGGAATATTGAGGAATCACTCAGAACAAATTAAACGGATCAGGAAACCTTGCTCCTGCCCACATGGGAAGGGGCCCTCTCACTGTGGAAGAGTTCTGCTGCCAGAAGCTGGTCTCCATGCCTGTGGATCCTGTCCCTTCTCACCTAAACGTCTCTTCGTCATCGAAGGTAAAGAATGACACCTTGTGACACAAAACTTGAACCATTTGGAGGTGTACTCCTCACACTGCAGTATTTGAATCTTTCCATTTCCTCCTGCTTCAGTCACCTTGGTGGTGAAAAGAGACCAGGAGCATCTTTTCTATAATGTTAAAATTGCACAAATAGCTTATCATTAAAAGACAATAAATGCTAAATGTAAATTAGTCATTTTGCCCCTCCAAGGAGACCAGCCTATTTCTTCTCTTTTTATCCTGGGAATAATCCTGGGTTTCTTCGTGAATCCCTGCAACTTCCTTCCTCTTCTCTGGCTTGCCTTCCCAGTTGGCACGCATGCGTGTGCAGCAATGGCTGGAAGCATGCTTTCCCCTGTTACTGTTGGAGAAACTCAAACCTTCAAGCCCTAGGCGGAGCCATTTTTGTCAAGTCGTCAACTGTATTTTTGTACTGGAGTTAACAAAAAAGAAAAGAAAAGAAAAAAATATTAATTGTTCCACTAAACTTTAATAAAACTTTAAAAGGAAATGTGTTGTGCTGGTCTTTTTGTTATTGGAGAATCACGGGAGGGATGGAGATCACTTCAGGAAGAAAAGTAACCTTGAGGGCCTAATCTAGGAGCTCTGTCTAGGACTCCTCCTGCCCCTGCACCTCCCACGTTCTGACGAACATCAGAGTTCATCTCTTCTACTTTTTAAATACCCGAATTCCCTCCATCCTCACTAGCACTGTTTTATACGGGCAGGCCTTTTCTATTTCCTAGACTAGTTGTTGCAACGGCCTTGTAGTCTTGCCTACTTGCCTCCATATTCTCTCCTGCAATCCATGCTCCTTCCCCTAGAGTCATCTTCCCAAAATGTAGATGTGACCGCTCCCTTGCTTAAATCCTTTCCTGCCACCTTCAAAAAGTAACACTAACATTAAGAAACATTTGGGCCTCAGTATGTGCCAGGCACTCTTCTAAGTGCTTTATGTGTGTTATGCCATTTCATTTGCCTTTAGTCCTAACAGCCCTGTGAGAAAGGTGCTATTGTCCCCATTTTATAGAAGAAGAATTTGAAATGTATGAGGAAACCAAGGCACAGGATCAAGATAAGATCTTTACCTTTGCCTTTCAGGGAGCTTCTTCAATATCATTTATTCCCATTCATGTCTTTGCATTTTGTGTTGTGGTGACACCAAATTGTTTCAAGTTCCCTTCACAACATGCTTCCTTGTGCTTTTGTGTGTTTGGCTTTCTTCCTCTGCCTAAAACTTTTTACTTATTCTTTACATTTTGAGCCACCTCTTCCAGAGACTTCCCTGACTTTTCTCATGAGGATAAAATGCCCCTCCCCAACACATCTGTCTTGACTCAGAACTATATTATCTTGTGGTTGCCCGTTTGCACATCTGTGGCGGTCATCTGGTGGCCGTGCTCTGCTAAGGCAGCGGCTGTTCCTCTGTCCTATGTACCAGGGTCACAAAACAATGTACTTTCAAGTGAATTGTGAAGCTCTATGGTAGGTTCTTTTCACTCATTCTCTTAAAGTCCCATTAATGATCCTATTGGATAGATATTATTAGCCTCATTTTATGGAAAAGGAAACTTCCTAGAGGGAAGTGGTTTGCCCTCTGTACTAAGTACTGGCCACCCCTATCTTACTCCAAACTCATGCTTTTTTTCACCACACATAACATTACCTCTTCTATGTTCTAAAGTGTGACTCGAAAAAGGAGTTTTCAATCTGGGGTACATGAAGACTTTACAAGAAATATATGAACACAAAAACTTCAGTGAATTAATATCCAGATCTTCATTTTCCCAAAAATGATTTCCCAGGATTCCTCGAAAAATTAAACAATTACTATATGATCCAGCAACTCTACTTCTGGGTGTATATATATATATATATATATATACCCAAAAGAATTGAATGCAGGGACTTGAATATAGATATTTGCACACCTATGTTCATAGGATGAAGTCTGTCTTAGCCCTTTGGTAATATTGAATACTTTTCCCATAAATTGAATGAAAGACAAGTATTTGATTAAAATATACTAAGGGGGAGGATATAACTCTGGTAGAGGTCCTGGGTTCAATCCCCAGTACCTCCATTACAAAATAAACCCAATTGCCTCCCCCTCAACAAAATTTTAAAAAATAAAAATAACTTCTAAAAAAAATTTAAAGGAAGAAAAATACACTTGAAGCACATAATAAATGCATTTTATCAAAGCATATTGTATTGGCAAAGAGTTTCTTAGCCCTTTCTGAGGAATCTGGGTTATGCTATGTACCTCTAAGGCAAGCAAAAATGTCTGAGAGGTAGTTAATAAGTGTTTGATAAGTCTTTGTAGTATACTTTCCAGCAAATGAGAAAATAAATTACTCTGATGAATGGGTAACAAGTTTTTCACAAGATAGGCGTTTTCTATATCTTTGCTTTCAACATGACTGAAGGAGGACCTAATTAAATTATTAACTGACATTTGAAAGTTTTGATGTTAGGTCACCTGTGATATTTTGGCATATAACTGAGTAAGAGTTCAAAGAGTTTAATGCTGTTGCAATAACAAAACTCCTTCTAGTCTCTTGTAATCTTGTAACAATTTTTTAGCACGTATGTTTCCAAAAGCAGTAAGTAGTGTTAAGAAAAATTGTTCAAAACTTTTACTATTACTGTACAGCATTGTTGTAAGAAGCCTGTACTGTTGTAACAAAGCATTACTGACTTTCTAAGAATGCAACTTAGTTTGATTTATTATTTACTATTAATAAATTACAGGCATTCTACAACTCTATGGAGTTAGATGTTAACTTATAGAAAACTAATAAGATGCAAATGATTTCTTTCCCAGGGAGAAGATAATCTCAAAATTTACAGCTTTAATGCCTTTAGGTCATTAGCCAGTTTTGTAGTGGATTTAGTATTCTTATTTCAGGGTCATTTGTCACTGACAATATACATGTATGTTTCTTATAGCCTCCTTTGAATTGGTTTAGTCACCTTGCTGTCTCATTCTAGCCATAAGTAATATTCTTCTCACAAGTACATGAATCACATTTTTAAAAAGTTATGTCACCAAGAGATGGCATTTTCAAGAAAATTTAACTTTTTATGTTTAATAATTATTAGTATTTGTAATGTTTGTTGTTTTGATTGACATACTAATAATTCTTGTAACAATAACTGAATCTGGAAGAAAAAAATTAACACATGTTTTAGTTGAGGTTCTCCTAAAAGCAGGGCCTGAAATAAGGCCTGTAGGGGTAATACATTTTAGGAAGAGGCTCTAGGGAACAGGAATGAGGGACTGGGGAGAGTGGATCACAGAAGGGAGAGCCAAAATAGGGTTTATTATTGAACTGGCTACCCTACTGGTCAAGGGTTGCCCCAGAGGAGCTAATTTCCTGGAAGAACATAGACACAGAGGTGACAAAGAGCCATGGATGCAGAAAGCAAGAGATACGGGAATGCAGTCATCTGGAAGTATCCTCAGCCTCCAAGTGCAGCTGGTTACCACAGTAACAGCCAAAGTAGGGGAAAGATCAAGAGATTTTTAAAGCAGGGTACACAAATTGTCTAATGTAACTTAGATTCTTATAGTCAAAGGAAATTTTGGCATTTTATTTCAGTTAAATACATGTTTACTGTAGGGATGTATGGTATGGAGATCAATAGAGTCTTTTAAGCATATAAATGCATTACATTAGTTTATAAATCTGTGCACAGAGTGAAAGAAATTCAAGCTCAAGGAGTAAGAAGATGGTGTAAAATTTCCAACTATTAAATCCTGTCCATGTATTAGTCTTCAGTGGATACTGTGGGTATAAAATTTCTGTGGTACTTAGGTTCTAGTGGATACACTTTTTACAGTGACATAACACCTTTTTCTTAATGTTATTATTTACAGTACCCCAGAAACTGTGTCCTTTGCAGTTATGTAAGTGATGAAGCTTCCAGAAATCAACTAAAAGAGTCAAAGTGCATAGTTTTCAGGGGGAATATATTCGTCTTCATCCCAATCATCACCACCATGGTCTAAACCACTAGCATTTATCACCTAGACTTCTGCAGTGTAAGTTCCATCAGGGCTGGGCTTTTATCTATCTTGTTCACTTCTGTACCCTCAGCCTAATATGGAATCTGGCATGCGGTAGGCATTCAATAAATATTAACGAAGTGGCTAAATAAATGAATAGCTATTTAGGTGATTTTCTTGCATCCATCCTTGCCCCTTCTCTAAATATTCTCCACAGAGACTGCGCTCTTCATAATAGAATTCTGGTTATATGATTTCCCTGCTTGAAACCCTTCACAGCCTCTCCTCCATTACTCCCAGGATAAAGTCCAAAATCAATAATATTGTTTAAATAGATGGTATAATTTGGATCCCACGTCTCTCTCCAGCTTCAGTACATGTCATTTTCTCATTCTATCACAAATTCCAGCCACATTTGGTTTTCTCTCCATTTTCCAAAGTTCCTCATGGTATTTACACATGCTGTTCCCTCTGCTTGGAGTGTCCTTCCCCATTTTTTTGCCTAACTCATTTTTCAAAAATCTCACCTAAATGATGCTTTGTAAAATCTTCCCTGATCATGGCACCAAAACTGCTTATTCTTTTATATCTCTCACTGCTTTTTTTTCAAGACAATGATCACAATGGTAATTAATTGATGTGGTTATTCGTGTAATGTCTGCCTTCCTCATCAGAGTGTAAGTTTTGTGAGAATGGCAACTGTATCTGTTTTACTTATCATTGTATTTCTAGTGCTCAGTACCTTCAGCCATGCTTGGTATACCATAAATGAATAATTGTTGAATTAAAGCACTGTTAATTTCCTAGGGCTGAACATTTTACTTTCACTATCTTGTACCAACTGCAAACCTAAAGCCCAGAAGTAGTAAGAGGAGGGAGTGATTATTCTCTCCAAGTAAGGATGAGATGGACAGTAGGACGAATAGGAAGGGACCTTCTCAATAATGAGGAGTATTCAGGAAGGCACTCAATGTAGAAATAAAGGCCTGCCCAAAACACTGAGGTATAAAGCAGTTTCTCAGAACTATGTGTCATTCCATATGGCCAGAGAACAAGGACCAAGGAGATTGGTGGTGGGAAATAAATCTTGAGAGAAAGATATCTGGATGAGTTTGTTAATGAGGTTGGATTTTATCCTACCACACAATAAACATCACTGAGTTTTCCAGTTCTTTCCTTTGTTTAGGTCTGCTTTTTCTCTTACTATCCATGGATATTTGGAAAAGTCATTTAACCTTGCTGACCTTCAGTTTCCTCTTGTTGATAGTTGATGAGAGACAAGAGATAGTGTATGGAAGGCACTTCAGAAAATTTCTGGAATATGGTAGGTGCCTACAGAATCTCAGTTCCTTTCAGCCCCTATACTCAGGCTGATTTCAGCACCATGACGACTGGTCAGTCCTGAGAGGATGCAGTTCCCATTTAGAGCACAAGGGGGAGTATGAGACTGAACCTTTACAGAGAGTCGCAAGGCAGCCTTACAGCAGCCCTTTGCAAGC